AGAGAAAGAGAGAGAGAAAGAGAGAGAGAGAGAGAGAGAGAGAGAGAGAGAAAGAGAAAGAGAGATACAGGTCCCCCGATACCTTTCATCCTGCAGTCCATGATGATGCCCATTTTCAAAAATTCAGAGGTTTTAATGAAAATTGGACCATTGCCATTTTTAAAAGTATGTTTTGCTCTGTTAAGCAAAAAATGTACAGAAAAAATTTGGTGTCTACTTGAGAAAATTTTCAAAACATTGTGTCTTCATGAAAAGTATCCTCAAAAATTAATTTTCATTTCAAATTCAAAGGCCAACAATTGGAAGGCCCTGGAATTGCATCATTAAGTTGGAGTAAATGAAGCAAAAAATGGTATTCCGTTTTAGGCAAACTCTATGTATTTTTGAAAATTACATAAAGTTAAAAGAACAATATTAAAAATAAATATTTTGATTTGATGTATTAAATGAAATTTGTTCTAAATAATGACATCTTTAAAAAATATCTTGTACAATTTTTTTTAAGAAACAAGTTCTTGCATTCTATGTTCAAGTTTCTATTTGAAGTTAGTGCCAATTATTTTAAAAAAACATTCTCAAAAACTGCTCCAAATTTTTTCTTCAATTTTTTGGATACAACAAGGGATGTTTAAGAGGATATTGTTGGTCTTATTTTCGTGAACTCTCTGGACTTCTGAAAATTGCAAATTTAGTGAAATTGAAAATTGCAAATAATGTGAGAAAGTATGTGCTGTTGGAGGACCACAAGGTGTTTTCTTTTTCTGCTATTTCCAAAGTCAGTTTTACATAAATTTAAATTGAATATTTATGAAACTAGAAACACAAATTTTGTGCCTGGGGTATCTGAGTCTCATACCTTACTGTCCTGGTGAAGTTCTTGAATACCATTCTTTTCTTTTTCCTGTTCTTCCTCTTCTTCCGCCTCCTCTTCTTCTGCCTCCTCCTCTTCTTCTTCTTCCTCCTCCTCTTCTTCCTCATAATCATTGTCGTTGTCATCATCATCTTCTTCTTCTTCATCTTCACATTCTTCTTCCTCCTCTTTAATTTCATTGCCCTCCTTGATTTCCATTTCCTCCTCATTTTGCTCTTCTTCTTGTTCGTCTGGTTCTGTTTTCACTCGATTGGTAGCAAGCATCATTTCCTGATTCTTATGAGCCACAGTCTCATGCCAGTCAATATCACTATTACAGCTTTCTGATAATGTGTCCAGAGGCTGCTGAGATTCTTCTTGATAGTCTCCACAATCCTGGTTGTAATCTTCCATACTTGACACTTGCTTCAGCCAAACATCTACCACAGTCTCGCCTCCTAAAAACAATAATACATATGAAAAGTAGAAGGTGAAATGCCTCCCAGGGGAACTGCTGCAGATCTGTTGTGAGCCAAGCTATGTTTGCCTTTCTATAGTCCAGATCTTGCCCCCAGACAATATCCTTCTTTTCTTACATCTCAAGAAATTCCTGTTTAATCATCATTATGCACATCAGCAGAGTTGCAGGAGGCAGGTGGCTGTCGAACACTAGTACATACTCCAGGTGACAGACTACCAAATTCTTTTTTATGAAAATGCCAACTGGTTGTTTATGATGTGGTGTCGACAAACCTGGACACTAGGTATTTTGAAAAGGACCCCAAATAGAGTCAAAACATCATGGTTGTATAACAATAAATAAATTGTTATAAAAAATTAGCCTGTTTATTACAGTCAAGAAACCATTACAATAAAATAAATGAGATAACAGATGTTAATATATTCATTATAATTATTATATTTTTGTCAATGTTATCATATTTAATAAATCATTTAGTCATTTTAGAATATAATATATGGGTACGCAATCATGAGTGATGAAAAAGTGCTACAATAATATTAAAGTTAAGCATGTTTTGTTAGTACCCAGTATGATTTATAATGTAACTACAGAATTGTGCAATATTTGCATTAATTACTTGCATTTTTTTTTTTGTTGTACCAGAGATAGGGAATTTTATCAGTATTATTCTTTATTGTTTTATGATGTATAAAGAGAGTAATGTGGTTGTAATGTGCTAATAGACTACAGTCCACATGCAAGAATTAAACTTATTAGTGTTTGGACTTTTAGGTAAATAAATATTTCCCCCCTTAATCTTGAGTGTTGAAAGTTTAACAGAAATTCAAGTAGTACCCCATAGTTTCCATGTACCAAATTGCACATCACCTAAAAATAAATCAATATTTTGATTAAGTTGCATAAAAATCAATATTTTTATCAAAACAAATATTTCATTATATATTTTGCCAAATTCTACATGAATAAATGGATATTTTAAAGAAGTAAAGACTGTCTTTATTGGTGGAGAATATATTTATAGTATTCTCAAGTTTAATACTTTAGAGTTTTTGAATATATGTTGAATGATGTACCAGTTTGAAATGCACTGGTTGGTCACGCATCTCCTGTTACTGTGGGACGTCCCTGATTGAGTGGAGTGAGTCTGGTGCCCGGCCTGTCAAAAGTTTTGGGGGCTATTATTAATACTTCTGTCAACTGATGCAATATCACTCTGAGCAATATCATACAATCACGAGCAGCTCCCAAACAACCACAGATCGCACAGACAAAATGTGCAGTGATAAAGAGCATGACGTCATATTTTATTCAAGACAACTCTCGGTCTCAGGTTAATGGTTTTCATGTGGGTAATAAATAAATATTTTCTTCATTTACATAAACTTTTTACTTTTTAAGCACAAAAAATTATTTTCCAGTTTCCTAGCACCTAGAAGTCTGAGCAAGCCCTAATTATTATTATTATTATTATTATTATTATTATTATTATTATTATTATTATTATTATTATTATATTACATATATTACTATATTCTAATATTTTCCTTGTATTATTCTTTGACATTGAACATTAGTATTGCAGGCTGAATCTAACCTCACATAATAACAATAAAATAACATAAAATAAAAAATGTTTTTCGTTCTCTTACCCAAAGTTTGAAGGCCAGAATAAGTCCGATCTAATTTCAGATTATGGATGATATCAATAGGACGATTTTCTTGAATAACAAAATGTACTTGTACTCGTACTGGAAATTCGCCCCATCCTCTCCGAGCTAAGTAGAAAGGATGAACCCTTTACAAAGAGACAAATCATGAGCTAAGATAATTTCAACTTGTGATTATAAGTAATACATGATTCCTTTTTTTTGTTTCAATAACAAATTTAAATAATCAACCTATTTAAAAATGTGGTGTTCACATCATTATTTATTCTTACTTAATACGTTTCCACTGTCTTCTTTAAGCTCTGAAGATGACAATTGAGACTTGTCACATTTAAATAACAATAAATAATATGAACACCATATTTTTAAATAGTTTGATTACTTAAATTTGTCATTGAGCCTCCCTCCCCCCAAAGGAATAATATATTTACACATAATCAAAAGTTAACATCAGCTACAATAAAAATATAATCTCAACTTGCGCAGTTCTAACATGCAACACTCACCATGTAGAATTCTCAGATTTGCAATAGTGTGAAATCAAACATGCCTACAGTCAAATTTTGAAGTGTTTTTGATAATTAAAAGAAGAGTTATGAACAAAAATATTATGTTTTGTAAGACCACCATTGATAATTAGGCAGTCACAAGTGGAAAGCAAGTGAGCAAGTGTGAGCAAGTGTCTTCTGAGGTGAAGGGTCAGTCCTGAGCATGGACATTCGTACAGCATCAGCTCAAGCGTGAAAATTTGCTTACTGATTAGCTGACTGTCAACTAGACCAGACACAATATTTGAGTCAGCTGCATTCCGCTCCTCACATTTTCACCTGATACAAAACCATTTATTAACAGGAAATTGAGAAATGTTCTTTTTATAATATTACGATTTGTAAGTTAAATTTTCATGATATTTGTAAGGTATAAATATGGTTATTCCAATGTTCTCATTGACTGATATTGTAATCCTATTCCTTGAAAGCACCCTTGCAAATTCTCTTGGGCAGGCATTCATTGTTGGTGGTGTTTTCCAAACCACTAGGAGTGAATTCTTCTACCTGTCAAAAGTATTTCAAATTTGGACTCTATGCTGTTTTCATTATGCATTATCTACATTACTAATTTCCAATGCATGCAGAAACTGGAAGAAAACTATGCTGCTTCTGATCGTGTGAGAGATGTTTTTGTTAGATAACCAGGTAATAGGGAAAAATTTCTGTATTACTAATTTCCAATGCACATAGACACTGAAAGAAAACTACGCAGCCTCTGGCATTTTAAAAGATGTAATGAAATATTTTCAATTTTGACTGAAAATGCAAATACGAAATAGTGTTATACCATCTATTTTCATACTATGCATACTCACAGAATTCTTATAGTTCTTCTCAAAATATTGTAATGCTGCAGAGCTCTAATTACCAAAAAGTGAATAAATTTTTATCTATATGTAGTAAATTACTTCCTCTAACATGTGTAATCAGAATTCACTCAATCAGTTTTTAAACAAAGTTTAAACAACATTTTCCAAACTTTCTCAAAAATGGCTCCAATCTTTAATTAAACATTTGCCTTAGATACTGAAATGATGCTCAAAACAATTGGCAATGATCTCATTTTCTTTGAAATATCTGAATTTTTGAAAATTGCAACAGATGAAAAGTTTTTTGCCATCTATTAACTACAATATTGAAGATAAAGATTTTTACTTTCTTGCGCTTACTTCATAAGAAAAGATATTACTGTAATCACATGCTGAAAAACTGCGCATCTTTGACAGAAAATTATTGACAGGCCTTGATAACAAAAAAGTGGCTATATCTTGTTTCTGTATATAGTAAATTACTTCCTATAACATGATGTGTAGTCAGAATCCATGTCTTGTGGGTCCTTGATACCAAAAAATCAATAAATGGCAAATGTCTGATCCTTCATTCGATCTAAACAAACTTGAAGCTTTGTGAATTTTAAATGGATATTCCGATGAAATGAAAGTAATTTTTTAAGTTACTTAACAAGAAGATCCGAAAGTGTTTTCAAAATTTTCTCAAACATGGCTCCAAATTTTTGGATTAAACTTTGTCCTCAGATAGAGTAAAGAATGCTTAAGAGAATTTTGCAGGTTTCATTTTCATTGAAATTCCTGATTATTTGAAAATTGCAAAGGTTTATTTTCAGTGTCTTCATACATCTCCAATACTGAAGATCTCTATTCATTTCTTAATGAAATCTGTTTTTTAAGACAAATTTTGAAATAAGGACAATTTTTCAAAAATATGAATAGGTTTTACATAATTTTGTGTGAAATATAGGCAATTTTGAAATTTTTTGAAACTATTTTTCTCAAAAACAGCTCAACATATTTTCTGTAAATTTTCGCTTCATATGTATCAAAGGAAAGTAAAAAATTTGGTGTAGTTGGTGGAGGTCTCATTTTCGTTGATCTGAGTGAATTTTTGAAAACTGTGTGATCAAAGTATTGGGTTGAGACAATTAGATTTTTAAACATCGACTCAAGTTGGCAAATCAGAGCAACTTAGCATAGTATGGAGGTAAGGTAAACGCAGCAAGTTAACTCTGCAGCAGACCTGGGTTGAGTCTTGGTGCAGAAAAAAATGTTTTCCTGGTGGAAAATACTTTTGCTGGTTCATGTAATACAGTATTGTGGAGCAGTTACAAATAATGAAATGTGTTCTTCAACAATGGTCTGATTGATTGACGAGAGGCAAGTGTTGCATGTAGGAGGTGCTCATGCTATAATACTACAATACAGAATGCCTGTTAAAGCCCCTGCCAACCACAGCTTATTATTGACAAGAGAAGACAGATAAAAAAACTGTTTTGCATGTTGCCCAAACAGAACGCGCCTAAATTGCAAACGCCTCATGTCAATCCCAACATATTAGAAAGGATCATGATACAAAGACAAATAGATATAGAGCTCTTCCATGAAAAATGAAGTATAGTGCCGGAACTCTAAAACATAGTGGCCTAATGAAGAGAGAAGAGTCTGTCTGTCTTACAACCAATGATATTATGGCAGAAAGAAGTGTCTATTTCTGGTAAAGTTCTTAAAAATCACAATCTATATAATGATAATTAATCTTTGTAATATAAACATGATCTCAAATCAACGTTTCACAGAGGCTAAGGATTCAAGCTGCCAAAGAAGTGTAACACTTTCACTTTCAAGCCGTATCAGTGTCTGCATACTGTAGTATATTGAGGATTTTTTTATTCTTTATTTAACCTCTTAGTGTAATTTACAGTTATATATCACAACAGTGTTGTGCACATATTCTAAAAGAGGAAGGTTTAAGCTTTAAAATGATAATAGAGATGATTAAAACAAACGATTAGACTAGTTCTATCATCTATTTCAAAACCACTCCTTCTAAACAATTACTTATCAGCTACGATTACTTATTGGCTTATTTAACATGTCCTCCTAGTCAGACATTATCAGAAAATTTGCTACTTGGCTTTAAAATGTCAAAAACCAACCCATATGAGTCCCACAGTGTTTCATTTCAATTATTTACATTCCAAGTCTGATGAAAAAGTACAGAAATAAGATTGTAGTATAATTGAGCAAGCTCTCAGTGAAGACCAAACATGATCACGAGCTGGGACCTTAGCACAAGTGGAAAAACAACAGAACAAGTAAAACTCAGGCATGGACCACTGGGACAAACAAGGCACCTTTGGCTAACTTTAAGTGTGAAATTATTAACTGTCTTAGAATGAATAATTGTTAACAGCCCTCATTCCCATACTCACACATCAACAATATCATGTGGTCGGTAGCTTGGATGTAGAAAGTACCGAACTTTGGCGACAATATCAGAGACATCTGGAGAGTCCTTGGGTCCTCTTAGGTATAACATCCATTTGTGGGTAGCAGCGCTCTCCCTTAAGTCTTCAGGTAGCCACTTACTGACATTCCCTACAACCAATCTGTAAACAGGTCAGATGTTTGTTATGTGTTTAAATGCATGAAATATCAGGGTGGCCACTCTTTTTCTGGGTAAAATTTTCCAATTTCTCTTGTTTTTCCAGAACATTTAAACATTTTTTTCCTGCCAAATTTTGTAGAATGTTTTGTGTTTTTTAAAACGAAAATTAAATAATGGCAAGTTTTGGAGTAACATTAAAACACAGTTTTCTGCTGAGACTTTTTCTCCATGATATATTAAATTCTCTTGCACTAATACATCATAACAGAGACTGAGACACTATGATTAAAAAAAACAAAAAAACTTACTGCCTCTCATTAGCTATTTGTTATATCTCTGATTTCAACAAAAAGACACATAACAGTATTTATAACAATTATAATAATTGTACTGCCAATGTTAGTTTGTTCAAATTCAAATTGTTGATTTTATCAAAATTACCTGCTTCTCCATTTTACTCTAAATAAATATTGAGCAGGTGAAATAATGATATACCAGTATCACACAAAAAAATATATGTAATTGCATAATTCTCTACAATTTCCTGTTTCTAATAATTCTTCTGCCTTCATTGAATTCCAAAATCTTTTCAAAATAATTATATTCATTAAGAAGCATATGACATTAAACATTATGATAAGCATATACAAATTCTATGAACCAAATTCCACATCTTGATTATTACTTACAAAATTATGTACTCGTAAATGAAACTTTGGTTGGAACTTTTGGAAATATGCACAACTTGAAAGATTGCAAATTCTCAGAGAATCCAAATGGGTTCTGGTCTAGTTGTCCACAACACATACCTTCTCTTAGTTCGGTGCCTCTCCATGCGCACTGAAGAAGCACACACTTCAGGAGGTTTTGGCATATTGGGTGGAACATATCTAGGGACCTTTACTGGGGCGGCCTCTTGATTCTCCTCCCTATGTACTTTTTGCTTCTCCTCATCTAGTTCATTATCTTTGCTGATGTTTGCTGAAGTCACTACAATAAAAAACAAATTTGTTTACACTTATTTGGATTATTTTATCATGAGTTCCAACACAGTGCCACAGAACAGGTATAATAATGTTACCTTCATTAAAGGTACTATGCAATACTCTGTGACCACTAGTTATTTATTATTAAGAATACAATATTAATTTTTGGAGTGATAAAGGTCTTCTGTGACATGCAAGTGATTATGTGAGCAAGAAAGGTAAAGTATCAATATGGAAATTTTCAAAAGTTTTCAAAACCAATTCCTTGCAACATCTTTAATTTTTTGTTCTACTTACAATTTGCCATTCTTAGCATTTCGACATATCTACAAATCTGAAATATTTTCTAATATTTCAAAGTTACAATTTCAATAGCTAATTGAAATTTCATATTAACAAATACACATCATTGGCAATATTATTTACATCTCTCAGCAGTAAAAATATTGTCAACATGTTTGCTTACCTGTGGAGACCCCATCAACAGCTTCTGGACTAGTTCCTTGTGTTACAGACTTATAACGAACACCACGAGTCTTTGGGCCACTCGGCAGAGAAATTCCCATTAGTCGCAGCACTGCTGGATGAACAGAATTCTGCTCCTCCTACATTGAACCAAATAATAGATTTGCTAGAAAAAACATTTACACTTTTTCCTAATGCATCAATAGCATGATTTTTAGCAAAATAATTTATGAAGCTTTTGGTTTCAATAACAGATAACTTGATTCATTATAACATGCAACACACACAATAAAAAAAGTATCCTAATGAAGTTATCAGGAATTCATCAACAAATGAATAATTAAGTAACAGGTTAAAAAAGTAGGAACTTAGATCCAATTATACAGAAAACATCAGAGTGAAAAACTACATAAAAATAGTTTGAGAAGAAGCAGATAAACTAACAACAAAAAGCTTCTCTTATTTATGTGTGTAACTATACACCACATACTTTCTCACATTATTTTTAACTTTTGCAGTTTTAGAAAATTTAGAGAGTTCAATGAAAATGAGACCTGTCATTCTTTGAGGCAATCAGTGTTCTATCCATGGAAAAAACTGAAAGAAAAATTTTGAGTGATTTTTGAGAAAATGATTGTTTTATAAATGACATTGACCTCAAGCACAAATTACACAAAAACCTACTTCTTTTTTCAAAAAATTTGTACATTACCTTATTTAAAGGCCTGATTTTAAAAAGAGATTTGGTTTAAGATAAAAACCTCTATCTTCAATATTGTAATTTTGAAATGTTAACTTTTTGCAATTTTCAAACTGTTCCTTGAAAATGAGAAGAAAATTCCAAAAACTTGGAATGATTTTTGAAAAAAATTGAAAATGTAAAATTGAGGCTTCATATAAAATGATCTCCAAAATCAAAATATACTGTTCAAATTCGGCCTCAAGTTCCATTAAATTGATCAACGAATATCAATTTTGGAGAAAATCAGTTGAATGGTTTTCAATTAGGGCAGCAAAAAATCATGAATTTTTAAAAAATATATGATTTTTTTATTGAAATCAAATGTTTTTGTGCGAGTGATTTATTTATTCTTTATTACTTTAAAAACAGAAAAAGTTTATTAAAACATCAGTTTATAAATTTATCATTAAATCGTTGTAATTTTATTAAAAAAACAAAGATACTATATATTTGAGGGATCCAGTGCCTAACCCACAAAATCTTTAAATTTGATTTACTTATAATTTCATGCTCTTGAAACACTCCTCATGCATCCACATTCCCAAATAAACTTGTGGCACCATCTATTAGCATGATTTGAAAAAAGGTATTCATTCAAAGAAATTTTACTGTTGTAGTGCAGTACTACCCTAAGCAAAAAGCACATGTTAAATACAACCAAATTCAGAGAAAAACATAACAATGTTAGATAGGTTTTGAAATATTAAATTCTACTTAATAGTTGCCTAGTTATAAGTTACTTGTTACTTGCACACTTTCCCATTAACTCTTTAGCAGTTAGTGGGAAGTATACTTTCCATTTAAAATGGAATTTTATCAGTATACACATAAATAAAAAGGCTAATATTATTAAAACTAGTAAGACTAACTACTGTTTTAATTAGTTTTAACAACTTTAATTTTGCTATTTAAATAGGTATGGATAAAAGCGCAGCTATTTAAATAGGCTGGATAAATGTGATTATATAGAACAATTCATAGGTGGAGCATGGAGCTCAAAAGCCTGGAAAGTAATTAAATCTATTAAATCGAATGAGAAAAACAATATTGCATTATCAAACATTGGA